GTTACATTTTTTAGAATTTCTTGATAGGTTTTGAGTAACTTGATGAGTATCTAAAAAATATTAATATTATATAAAAGTATTCTCAAACCTGCCTTTGCTATGGTAACATGCAAATCGCTGTACGCAACGCGTACGCATACGCAACGCGTACGCATACGCAACGCGTACTCAGCGTTCTTACTGCTTCTGACGCCACGTACAATTCAATAATTTACTTTTACTGCGCTTCATTCCCATCAACGGAATTGTTTTAGTTGAGAATGATCCACTTGGATTTGACATTGCTCTATGGAAAGGAACCTTACCGTACGTATACGACTCGGATCAATCAAGACGTATTCATCTTGTTTGCCCAACATACTTCTTCATGTTCCGATTTCAGGCATCTTATCATAGTTTACAGTATGAAATTAAAAAATCATTTCATATTTCGAAACGGCATCAACAGATATACTTTCGTGGTAAGGAACTGACTGTGGTGGGACATACTCTTCAATCTGCTGAAGACGGTGAAGAAATAATCATTGTGAGTCTTTAACTTACTGTATTGAAAATAATGGGCTAAAGTCTCTTTCAATTTTTGTGAAGTAATAGATTTTGACAAACCACTCAAATAAGATACTTCCTCAAAACGTCTTAATTTGAACCGAAATGTTCTTGCAGAAACATTCTCTCTACAACCATTGGTTAGCGTTTGAGCAACATTTTCAGAACGCGAGAAAAGCGACACTGTCTAATACAGAGGTTAGAGAACACGCTCTCCTGGCTTTTACTGAATATAGTTACTTGAATTCATCAAAACCTTTTTTTCATACCTTTCCTCATTTGTGTTCATCAGTTGACAGTTTTCTTACTACGTTTCGCTTGTATAAAGACAGCCAGTGTGAACCCATTACACAAGCTTCAGAAGCTTATTTTTCAACTCTCTATGATGACGATCCTGTTTGTCCAAAGCTCAGCATCAAATGGGAAAAAAAGAGGTCTCAAAAAATTTTCAATGTCAGTTTGAGCCAACAAAATCTTTCGTGCATAACGCTATTGCAGGCAGCGTGGACACTTCGATGCAGCATATATCGAGAAGAAACATTGTTGAAGACTTATTACGTGAGAACTCATACGAAACTGACACAACCACACGACAACGAAAACGCTGATCTTCGGGTGTTATTTATGTATAAATTACTTGAGATTCTCGGATTAGGACCAAAAGTTCACGTTTACCGGAACTCGGGGCATGGTTTTGGCCTTTACACTGCTAGCGAAAGAGGTTATTATATGAAGCCAATAGTTATATCAAGGATACATTTAAGTTCCCGATTTCAAAAGTTTCCAGTTCCTTACAGATAATACAGATAAAAACACTTTATTGTATTATCAAGTAAGATTACTATGCTTTTGCTTTTACCTGAAGGATTTGTTAAACGACAAAAGAAATTATGGCGCTGACAGGGATGGACGGCTAAAAATCTTACACTTCGCGGTAATTTTTAAGAATTTTCTTGAATATTAATAACGTTCACGATTCAGATTCGTTTTCACAGGCCGATTGCGAAACGACAGCTCGAAATGTATGGTTTTTATCGAGGGAAGGAAAGCAGAATTGGTAAAGAATGTTTTTCGCGGTGGGATCTTCTCCGTTGTATAGATTTGGCTAATAAGGCAATTGAAAACGAGAAAAACCTTTATAAAAGACATCCCATCACTTGCGAACAACACCGTGATTATGATCAATACTTGACTAAGATCAAGAACAATGTTCAATACTTCACAATTCATTTTCATAAATTAGAGCTTGGAGAGACATTATTTGCTCGTTGTCTCCGTGTAGTTGATCCTAATCAAATTCCGTTTCGTACAATATTCTCATAATTTCCACTGAAATCGCTTCTCAGGGACTTATCTCTGTCGTTCCGAAAAGAACGTTATTTTTTTATATATTTTATTGAAAACATACCTGAACTTTCATCTCCATGACATGATATGGTATCCAAAATGAGAATGACAAACAGCCTTGACCATTCGAATTCCTTGTTCGCTACACCTTTTTTTCTTAATTGATTTAAAATAACTTGATGAGTATCTAAAAATAATTAATATTATATAAAAGTATTTTCAAACCTGCAGTTGCTATGGTAACATCATTTCCGTGAAACATCAAAATCAGTGTGGAAACACAGTCTTATGTATCTTACGTATGTTGATAACGAGCTTAAAGAATAATTATATTGCTTAAATGTGCGTTTGGGAACTATCAAACTACTACAACATTTAGTTTTGAGGATGCGTTATATCTTTCCAAAGAATCCATTCGAAAATGTCACGAAGCGCTTTGGCCCCTCATGGTGAAGAAAACAAAAAAGGGTATTATTGATGTTCTTCGAAGATAGTTTTGGGAATTACTCATCTGTATATATTGAACACATTTAAAAAAATTATTTTCATTTTTGATCGATCAAAGAATGTAGACAAATGAGAACATTACTGTCTTAAAAAAAATTACAGGGTTTCACCATTCTAATAAAAAACTAAAGCATCAACTAATCATATTCGATGAAGACGCAGACAGTTTCGTTCAAATTTTGGTTTCGATCAGTGGCAGTACATGGAACTGAGATAAACTTTGAATGAACTGACTTTTGCAACCTTCTAGAATCACCACTGTCGTTTTGAATCGGGAGCATCATATCCACTAATGGTTTAATCGGCTGTTACAGGAACAGGTGGGCCTGTATATACATCGGCATTTTAAAGCAGCTTCTTGAATATAATAGATAAATAACAACCATGATAACTATGGAACAGAAATCTAACAACAGGCAACATGGCGGTTTGAATTCGCATTGGTTTTGAAAATTGAAAAATTATACAGATAGACAGAACCGATATCAGATACCCGAAAAATTTGAAAAAACACTTCTTCAACAACGAAAACGTGAAAAGTGAAATGGTTACGCTACATCGACCAATGATGATACTCTGGAAAAGAAAAGAGATGACAAACTATGACTGTATTACACCTGCTGTATCAGAAAAAAAATTACTGCTAGTAGGGTATGGTTAATAGAAAACGTAATCATCGTATTGAAGAAACACTCATATTAATCATATTATAATGATTTCACGATGTTGATGGAAGAAGTTGAAACAGCTTCTGAAAAATGAAAAAAAATTAGGGAAGCGTATGAAACTCTAGAAAAATTTATTCGAATCTGTTTCTTCGATCTAAATACTCATTTCATCGATCGATCAAAATACTCATTTCTCATCGCAAGGACTCTACATTGTCTCGGAAGAAGGTTCGCTTCTTAAACAGCTGGTAGAACACGAATTATTTCAGTCAGAAACTTTGTACGGTATGAGGAATGGAAAACGACAGAACATATATGGTTAACACAGCTCAATTTGCTGAGTAGCTGTTTGAACATTAAAGATCTGGCGGACAATACCGATAACTATGGGGGCAACGAGAACGGCAATCTCACCATAGTGGATATGGCGGTTTGAATCGCAATGGTTTTGTAAAATTAGAAATCGTATAGATAGATAACGTGGATATCGAAAACCGGGAAGATCCACAAAAACATTTCTTCACCAAAAAAGAAGTGAAATAAGAAACGGTTCTAAGTTACCTCGACCAATGGAACTTACCTATGATGATAAGACGGGCCAGCGAGATGATTTTGAGAGAGAAAGAGCATTGGTAATCCACTGGCATTCACTTAGTGACAATGACCAGCTTCCCAAGATGTATTTACAGGGGGAGAGAAGAACTGGCGATTTCACGATCCTCACATGAGGCAAACGCTTTGAATCGAGAAAGTTACAAAAATCAGAAGTCTACAACGTCTACATGAGTTATTACGACTCTCACTCTAAGACACATGTACTATTAGCAGTAACTATTTGTTTTTAAGATTGCACACGTTTTGACATCCTTGAGAAGATACCCTTTTTGTAAGTTTTAGTATTACTTTTTATCCATTATATAAATTATTTACAGGTACAGTTGACGCACCTTTTGAGCAATACCACATCTATTTCAGAGATACTTTCTTGGTTTCCGCCTGCCGTATTGCAAAATATACAATAGTTGAAAAGCTAAGGAACGAAGTCATCTATGTATTTGCCAAACCTCTAAAGACAGATTATTTTACATAATATCTAGAGAATGTGAGAAGAAATGTTCAATTGTTCAATGAGTACTCTCTAACATTACAATAACAACAATTTTTTTAAAATTTTTCTTGAAATCCTGTTAATGTTCGTTTTGTGTGTGTATATCTGGCATTGTATATGTGCATCAATTGTGCATTTCACTACTAGTGATGTTTTTTGTGTACTGGCGGCGGCTTTTAAGTCCGAAAGGCATTGAGCCTCTAAAGAGTTGCTGTCTCCGATCGGGTGTAAAATGGATGCTTCACTTGTTTCAAAGCCGTTCGAACATTATCTGCAATTAATTATGAGATAGTTCCGGATAAGTGTTGATAAGCATGATTATACGTTCATACTCTACGATCGCATAAACATTGTATTAACAGAAACACTGTTCACTTTTCGTAACTTGCTGGAGAGAGAAGACTTTTTCAAATAAAAGATTAAAGATTTTCACTTTTTATTTTTTCTGTGTTAATATTTTAATCATCATCCAAGTTTGAGTACGCGGTTTAAGATAAGAGAGAACTGTAGTATAGTTCTTTGTCGATCATCAAAAGAACGAATAGTAGAACTAAAACCTGTAAATATCATCTCTATTATGAATCATCAGAAAATTACTGTATAGCAAGCCATAGACAATCCTAGAAACTCGAAATAAATTGGATACTGCAGTGCTTTTTGACTAAAGATTTTCGAACAACCCTAAACACTGATCTGTTAGCGGCCTCAACCTATTATTATAACTTCTCTTTTCACCAAGTACTGGAATATATGTGCTGTGTACATAACTTTGGTGCAAGTCGCAATCAACGGTTTAATGTCAGAAAAAGTTGATTCTTCTTTCATTTTACAACATGTGAGAGGTACAAAGGCTTTTTCGTCTGTATCTCGATGTTTCATGAACCATTCAGTGAAGTAATAGTCTTCAGGTTGTTCAGCGCCACAGCAGTCGTTCTGAAATGATCAGAAAAAATTTCTCAATTACTTCTTGGTTCAAGTACATAGTATTGAATTTTATCCATTAACATTTTGGCCGATCTATCAACTCCATATCGACGGCGTGCCAAGTCATATGTGAAATTACTCAACGTTGTTTCATTGTACTAAATATTACATCCCATCATAATTTTTGTGTGTGTATGTATTCACATTCATCCTGAATTCTCGAGCAGTCAAACCCATTGCCACTTGCATGAAACTAACAATTGCGAGACCAAAGATAAACTGAAAAGTTGAGTAAATAGTGTTAACAATCATGGTTTCTCAAAAAAGCTATTACCACACTTAGAACATATCTGACTTTACCATACAAGCCGAGGATTCCAAAAGAGCAAACAAGCATTGAAATAGCTCCACTCCCTATTCCAAGCCATACAACCCATTTCTGTGATTAAGTAGTGAAAAGCATTTAGGCCCAGCCTTATGATTTCAGTTGTACCATCGGTGGTTTTTTTTCTGAAGACATCGTGACATCAAGTAAATAACTCTGTCCATCCATGAGAACTATCCATAGACAAACAATAAACACAGTTAAGTTCAAAATCTTAAAACTGTTTGCATGTGAGTCTCTATGAAATCAGACCCACGTAGAAAAATGCAAGCAAACAGGAATAAACATGCCGCAGTAGAGAATGGACAGGCTCAGGCCCAGCAGACGATTCATGTCTTGGTAGCCTTAATGCAGAATTAATCAGAAAGCAAGAATAAACTAACTCAGTGATTTCCATTGAAACGGCTGCCGTCTCGGTTAAAACACTCATTCTAACAATGATATGAAAGTAACTGCAATCTCTCCTATCTGGCTGGAAAATTTGTTTTATTTATTTATCGAGATTACACTTTTACAAAAACATTTCTCTGGCACATAAATGATGAGAACGTTTCAAGAAAAGTGTACAAGTTTAATATTTCTCGGAATTATTTCGTGTTCTACCATCACTTTCAATAAAAACAACTATTTCTCTTTTTTTCATGCGTAGGGTGAACGGATATGTTTTTTTTTCTGTGAACTGTTGGATGTCATTGTGTTAGTTTCATGTAGGCGGCCATTACGGATGCCAGCAAAAATTCTGATGACCGGAAGAAAGTACGGGACAATTATTTGTTATTCTTGAATAGAAAGATGTGTTAGTGAATATGATTCCAACAAAATATTAAATTTCCTCAAGAAAAAAGTTCATCTAGAAATACGGCAAAATGGAAGAAATTGTATCAGATAACTTGAAATGAGAGTGCTGCAGCCACATTTTTTGAATATTAATGCAGTTTTGTAAAATAATTAGTATGTCGTCTCATATCTAATTAAGATGTGTTTGTGAAAAATCGAAGTTTTTTTCATTAGAAAATAGAGAAATGATTTTTTACCTCACGTTTCACTTGTTAAGTCAAGCAGCTGGCTGAAAGTTCTTTGATAGGCCTTTGACACATTCCATTTTCGCCAAATATGCTTATACAAAAGAGTATTCGCGTTGTATTATCTTACTATGAATTGTTCTCATCTTTCGATTTCCAGAAAAATGTTTTTGTACATGCGTAATCATCAGCGAAAGTTTTCAAGTTCAAAACAATAAATATATGCCTCGAATATCATTTTTGGAATGAGTACTTCAAATGAGACAACGTCAGTTTCTATGGAAATGACAGAGTAAGCCATAAGTCATCTGGGTTCATGATTAATTCTGAGTTCAGATTAACTGCACCTCCTGCATATGAGCCTTATCAGCCACGTAATTTACTACTCACTCCTCTGCATTACTTTTATCTGCTGTTTCTCGTTCTGTTCTATGTTAGTGTATATCATCTGTAAAGAAACTTTATAAAACTCTAATAGGTTCTCAACTTAATCATTTTCATTTTCTCTTTCTGGCTGGATGTGATGGAAACGGAAAGTTATTTACTAGATGTTACAGTTAGTCCAGATAACAGGCCGCTTATGGTAGATATTCTAAAGCTGTTTGGTGATATTGAATGACATCTTACATTTATTAATAGAGATGGGCTGTTGGTCTTGGAATAGTAGTTGTTGAACAAACAACCATCGATATAGCACCACTTACTATTCCACGATAGCAGAGATTCTAAAAACTTTTGAAATCCCAGATAACTTAGTCGTTGGAGTGGTTGCTGATGGTGCAGCTAATTTGAGAGCTGCCGTCTTAAAACTAGCAGCAGAAAAAACATTTCATGCCGTGTTTTCATAGTTGGTTTCTCTTTAGTTTATATAATAGTCTTCGTTTTTCAGCCACCACTGCTTCTGTCATCGTGTTCAACGCCGGTATAAGAGCATATAGAAGATCAAGCTTAGTTCAAACTTTTTTTCCAGAAGTGAGTGGAACTATGAAAGTCTTTTATTTTTTTTAGTGCATGTTTGAGGCACGGACTCAAAGCAAAAAGATTGCGAAAGGATACTCCAACACGATGAAATAGCGTTATATCTGAATCTAAAGACATGTAAACTACACATAAGACCCAGAACACTAAACACTATTGTTAGGGGGAGTCTTTAGTGATCGTCCTCATGCTGGTACCTCCCTTATCGGAAACCACGTAGGTACCAGATCTAGAGACTTCTCCTAGAATATGATAACACCATCACTTCTAGTATCCTTCATCCTTCTTACATATACTTCTCCTCTAACGTGATCAAGACTTTACCATAATAGATATT